TATATTCACATCATTCATGTCTTCATACATGTACTTAGGGTTTTATTATTGTTTACAATCCTTTAAAAATGTGAAAACCAAGCCAGGGTGTGGTAGTGCACACATGTAATCTCAGCAACTGTGGCAGCTGAGACAGGAAGACTGCAAGGCCAGGCTCAACAAGTTGGTGAGGCCCTAAGCAACTTGGTGAAATCCTGTCTCAAAATTTCAAAAATAAATTAAAAAGACTGGGGATGTAGCTCAGTTGTTAAGCACTATTGGGTTCAATCCTCAGTACCATAAATAAATAAATACGTAAATACATAACCACTCTTAGTTCACAGGCTATACAAACACGGGCCATAGTCTGCCAATAGCTGATATCATTCAACATGCTAACAGAATGAGAGGAGGAAAATCATATGCTTATCTCAAAAGATTCATAAAAATATATTTTATAAAAACATCCAACGTCCATTCATGATTTTTAAACATGCATAATTTAGGAAGAGAACTCTTTTCACTCAATAAGGATCACCAACTAAAAACCATAACAAACTTCTTTCTTAATGGAGAAATCATAGATTCTGTTTAAGATTGAGAATGAGATAAGGATGCCCAAAGTTTCTACTTATATTCCACACTGTACTATAGCAAGCGTAGTAAGGTATGTGGGAGCTAGGGGGAGGGTGACTAAAGACATAAGGTTTGAAAAGGAAAAAATAAAACTGTCAGTATAAAATAAATGTGTGTCTCTGCAGAAAGCCTTAGAAAGTACAGATAAAGTACGCAGAATGACAAAAAGAGTTCAGCATTATGGCTATATAGAAGATTAATACATCTGTTCATGTGTTAGTTACTTGGTTGATCTTACTCTGCAGGGTTACCTGAAGGAACTAAATTAGGCAAGCTTTCTTCCAAAGAGAATTTTGCATTAGCTTCTGCCTAGAGCAACAGGACACTAGTGACCTAGGATTATCCCTTTCAGGTTAATAGGCAATTCCTTAATGTCCGAGTCTCAGGTTCAAGCTCCTATATACTGGTGAAGCCTAAAGCTTAGTCTTCTACTTGCAACATAGCTATTGGTATTTGCCTCCAGGGCAAACCTAGCATTTGTTTGCTAACTTTGATTTCTACACACTGGGGTTTGTCGGTGGGGTTGTTTATTATATTTCTGTCCTAGAAGATTTCCTTTACTTCTTAATGCACTACTGTTACTACAAGAAGGGTCTTATCCAAGACCTAGCAGTGTTATAATGGAAAGAAGACCATTTTGAGCATCTGGTTTAAAGTTTGTTTTATAAAAATTATCACATATTAAAAAATGATTAAAAACAAAATTCCAAAATGTTAACAATGGTTGTTTCCAGATAACAAATTATAGGTAACTTCTTTTCTCTTCTGATTTTTCCATTTATGATCTTATTTCATTTCATAAAGAAGAAACAATACATTCTATTTTTCAAAAGATGTTATATACAGAACATGGTTAAAAGAAAGAACTACTTTTTAAAGTATTATCAAAAACACGAAAGACGTATAATCCCAGTGACTCGGGAGGCTGAAGCAAGAGGATCACGAGTTCAAATTTAGCCTCAGCAACTTAGCGAGGCACTAAGCAACTCAGTGAGACCCTGACTCTAAAGAGAATACAAAAAGAGCCAGGGATGGGTTCAGTAGTTAAGTGCCCCTGAGTCAATCCCTAGTACCAAAACACACACAAAAACAGACACACACGAATACACACACATGTAAATGTTTATTAAACATATAATTGCTTTTCAAATAGTATCTTAATTCAATTTCATAAAAATACTGTAACTTAAGTATCATTATCCCTATTTTTGTGGAAGAGGAAACTAAGGTTCAGAAAGGTTAAGTAATTTGCTGGAGTGAAAGACCTGGGATTTTAATTCAAGAATACTTGTTCCAAGGCCAGTGCTTTTTTCCACTGAACCATGCTGCCTCCCTCAGGAGAGCATTTTCACATTATCACCTGCTAATTCTAATTAAGAGACAGTAATTAAACAATTCTCCACTCCTGACAACAATATTTAAGCTACTGGTACTTTAAAGAAATTAATATGAACAGCTCTTTATCTGCTGGAAGATATGATACTTAAATATAAACTACAAACTATCATAGGAAGAAAAGGCTCCAATATGATAGTTAGATGCTTTTTCAAAGCATAGTGAATCACAATATCTATTAATAGGACATGAAACATTAAAATGTTGTTTAATTAGCAATACACATAAAAAATGTTCAATTTGACTAATACTTAAAAGAAATACAAATAAGAGTAACAATGACATATCTATCAAATTTGGCAAAAAAAAAATTAAGTATTAATAGCCAGGTTAGGCAAAAAGTACACATCTCATACACCTTAGAAGATCATAGAATTGACAAAAACTTACTATAAGCTGCTTGATAATATTCACCCATTATAAATGTTTGTGTCTTTTGACCTAGTAATTCCTAGGATTTTACCCTGAGGAAATAATCACAGATATGTGTATAAAGATTATAGGGTTAATCTTAACTTCTTATAACACCAAAAAGGAGGAAGAGGAGGGGAAATTTGTGGAATGAATCTAAACCCATAATAATAAATAAGGCTAATAAATTATGTACTTTCCAATGGTTACCAGAGGCTGAAATGGAGGGCAGGAGTTAGTCAAATGGTACAAAGTTGCAATTAGACAGTGGAATAAATTCTGGTAATCTATTACAAGGAAACTATTGTAAATAATGTATTGTATATTTCAAAAATTTTAAGAGTGGATATTAGATGTTCTCACCAAAAAGAAATGATGTCTGTGAGATGACAGATTTGTCAATTAGCGTGGTCAGCCCACAACACGTACAAGTATCAAAATATTGAAATATAATTTTGTCAATTAAAAAGAAAAAGAAAAAAGGGAGAATTACATGCATTCAAAAGAATTCAATCAGCCATTAGAGATGATGATACTTCATTAGCATGTGACATTTACCACCAAGGAAAGAAATTATTGACATTCTTGACATGGTTTTTATAAAAAAGTAAGTAAAACAATAATATGAGTCTGACTGTATTTTTATTAACCTATATTTGGTTATATTTCTGTATTTTCAAATTAAAAACTATAACATGTATCAAAATTTTAGCAGTAGATATATCTATTGGTATGACTTGAGTTTGTTTTAATTTTAATTTTTCTTCATCTATATTTTCTTATTTTTCTACAATAGTGATTACTTGTATTTTTAAAAAAAGAAAATAAAAATTGATATCCTTTAATTATCGATTGGTTAACCAGACCACTCAGTCTACTACTATGTGATACAAATAAGTTACAAAGCAATATATAAGTACATTCTCATTTATGTAACTAAATTATATATATATTACTTCTAACCATTTGAAATTGCCGTCATGTGTCTGTTTTTCACTTTAAAATCAGCAATTTCAAATGGTTCATTGTAATACTTTTATTTTAAAAAATAAATTCTAAAATATTAGTAGTATTCTGTGAGGGTTTTTTTTCCTTCCTTAAGGGCATCTATATTTCCCTCTTAAATTCATTTATATTTACTTCTTTTAGATTTTAATATTTTCCAATTTTTCCAAAAATTAAATCCCAGTTTCAATATTACTGGCAGGAGACCTTGAGTAAGTCAACTGCCTTCAAAAACAATAATTATAATAGTCCTATTTCCAAGGTTAGTTTTAGAATGAAATATAAGATAGGGCTCGGGCTGGGGCTCAGTGGTAGAGCACTTGCCTAGCACGCTTGAGGCACTGGGTTCAATCCCCAGCATTACATTAAAAAACTAAATAAACAAAATAAAGGTATTGTGTTCATCTACAACTAAAAATATTTTTTTAAAAATTATGCCCTCTTCAACAATTCTGCCTTCCTTTATTTATTAAAAAAATGAAATAAGATAATTCATGCAGGGACAATGACACAGATTATGGCACATGTGTGCTGTGCATCTATATAATGTGATAATCAGGAACTTCCTGGATCTTTCACTTACTAATGGTAGTCCTAGTTATATAACCTCTCTGTATCTCAGTTTTCTTATCAACAAAATGGAAATAACTCCACGGTTTGTGTGATGTTCACATGACATAATAAAGATTTAATATGGCATTCCTGCCAAACAGGAATTTCTCAATAAATTTTGGCTATTTTATTATTAGTAGTGATGGTATTTAAGTATTAGAATAAACATACATCGTTTGTTTAGTTATTTACCAATTCTGAATTAATATTAGTTATATACCAACTCTGAGTTATATATCAATCCTAAGTTGACTGATTGCATTACTAGTATGATACCTGAAATAGAGGCAATATTATTTTTAATTTCCTGGATTTAGTTCCATCCTAGTATGTATAACCTCACTAGCAAAAAATCCTCAAGTAGTAAAATTAAAAACAAGAATTCTCCTATACTTTATAACCAACATTTCCAAAAGAAAAAAAAATACTGCAGTCCTAAATCTAGTAATGAAATTCTCTAAACAAAAAGTCATAGATTATAACTTCCCTTTTCCTTCTAAATACAATTGCCAAGAATATATGACAACGAGAACAAATCTTTCTAACCAAATCTCCCTCCTATCCAAATGTGCATTTACTATATAAGAATTAGAGAGACCTAGATCCGAACCCTCCAGAATCCAAAAGATATGTGGAGTTTCCAAAGTCCAGGAGGCACAAAACAAGAATAGGAAAAAAACAAGAAGAAACAAGGAAGATAAAATAAACAAAATAAAAATTAATGTTGGAAAAATCTCCACTTTGTTTTCAACCAGCCAGTGAAGCCTACTTTCACATTTTCAATACATCTGAATGTATGTTTATAACTGAGGATGAAATGAGAGTTCATTCATTCCATTCTTATAAGCTCTTATACAATAAAATTTCACACCTTGGGACCTAGTCCCTATTCAGGAGGTATACATGAATCCCCCCTAAGATCCAAATAGGAAATAAGCCTTCTGGGAGAGATGCTCTCCTACCTTAACAGCTTCTCCCAGAGTTTGGTTTTTGTCAGCTTCCTCACTGGAGTGCAATTCAAGTCTGTAATTCAGCTCCTGTAGTTGTTGTGCCTGTTCATTCAAAAGCATTTGTGCCTGCTGCTCCCGAAGCAATGCATTATTTAGTTCTTCACATGCACTTTCAAATTTCTCATGGGTGATCAATTTCTTTTAAAAGAGGGGAAAAAAATCAGTTACAATCTAACTGCACTGTTATATCATTTTATCTTCAGAACTATATTTGTTAACATAATATAATGCAAACATTTCTAAGTATTCAATGCAAGAAAAAATATAATTTGTTTTTATTAATTTCATAAGATAAAAATATGGTTGGTTTTTAAAGCACAAAGTCATACTTCCAAAGTAAGCATTTTTAGTAAAAAAAAATAAAAAAGGTTCAAAAACATTCCAAATTCTGAATTAACCCATGATGCCCAGTTTAAATCTTAATACATAAACACTTTTTATAAAGATTATGATTATGGGACTTAAAAACTTTAACCAATTCCTAGGCTTTCAAATGATAATCTGAAAATATGTGTTTAGTGTTAGTTTTCAGATTTCCCCAAATGTTCTTGGCAAGTTCTCACCAGATCATACATCCCCCATTGCCACCCCCATTCACACTATCATACTATCTTGTTTTATTTTCCTCACAGCAACTGTCATTATCGGATTAACCACACTTTTAAAAAATTGCCTAGCCATACCCTGTCACCAACCACACATGCAAGGATGTACTTCCACTGAGCTTTCTCACCCAATACACAAAAGAGGGCCTGGGCTAAGCAAGTGCTTGTCCTTATTTGTTGAATGAAAAAATATTCATATACAAACATCTGCCAATGAAACTATATGTCATAACATACAACATGATTTTTTACAACATCATAACTACTTTGGAGGGCAGTGCTGTAAAATAAACTAATGACAGTCCCACACAGGGGTCACCCGTGAAGGCACATGAGGTCCAGGGCAAGATACACTTGAATATCTTCTGTTCAAAACATTTAAACAAGCAACTAGCTACAACAAATAGGAAACATCTTGGATCTTGAAGTACAAATGAGAATGTTTCATAAACGGAAGGTAATAGGCAATGTAGTTGGAAAACGAGGAATAACATGCAGGCCACTTAGTCACACTAAGTAAACTTATACATCTATTTAAATGTACAACTTTATCATTGTTAAAAAGGATTTGAAGTAGATTAACATAACTAACCATAAATGTAAAGTAATTTGAACTTTAAAAAAATCTAGAAAGGGAGAGCAGAATAAGATCTTATTAAATCTATGCACCTAGAATGTAGGATTATTACAGTTGAATGTAGACTTTATATCTAACTTTTCTGATGAGAGAAAAAAAATAGAAATGTACAGAACTAGAAATGCTAGAACTGAATTTGAGAGTATATAGAATGGGCCCTTCTATATTATAATATGTAGCAAACCAGTTTTGTTTTTAAAGCAATTGACTTTTACTTCCTTTTTCAATGATATATAAAATGCATTCATCACCACTGATGAAATTTTAGAAGGGGAAATTAAAGTATAAAATAGATGCTTAATACTTTGCCTAAGTTAATATAAAGTAATGAGAATGTAGACAAAGAATAAAGGAAAGTTGTCTTGTTTCCTGGAGTCACCTAGTAAAGGTTTATCTATATATCACTGATATATCTTTGGTGTTTAGATCTTACAAAACACTCATCTTTTCATTCCCTCTTAACCTCTGGCTTACTTCTCCATATTATCCTAATATAACCAAACTCTGCTTCACTACATCAGTCCTCACAGCCTCCTCTCAGCACTCTAGCTCTATACTACTTTTTTAAATTATTTTTTATTTATATATGACAGCAAAATGTATCACAATTCTTATTTTTCATATCTCTGGTTGTATACAATTTGTGTCTTCATACATGTACTTTGAATAATAATGTCCATCACATTCCACCATCATTTTAACGCCATGCCCCCTCCTTTTCCCTCCCACCCCTTTGCCCTATCTAGAGTTCCTCTATTCCTCCCATGCTCCCCCTTCCTACCCCACTATGAATCAGTCTCCTTGTATCAGAGAAAACTTTTGGCATTTGGTTTTTTGGGATTGGCTAACTTCACTTAGCACTATCTTCTCCAACACCATCCATTTACCTGTAAATGCCATGATTTTATTCTCTTTTATTGCTGAGTAATATTCCATTGTGTATATAAGCCACATTTTTTAATCCATTCATCTACTGAAGGGCATCTAGGTTAGTTCCACAGTTTGGCTATTGTGAATTATGCTGTTATAAACATTAATGTGGCTGTGTCCCTGTAGTATGCTGTTTTTAAGTCCTTTGGGTATAGACCGAGGAAAGGGATAGCTGGGTCAAATGGTGGTTCTTTTCCCAATTTTCCAAGAAATCTCCAGACTGTTTTCCATATTGGCTGCACCAATTTGTAGTCCCACCAGCAGTGTATCATGTGGGATTAGGCCCCAATTTCCTTAACAAGACTCCTTTGGCACAGAATTAAAATCAAGAATCAATAAATGGGATGAACTCAAACTAAAAAGTTTCTTCTCAGCAAAAGAAACAATCTGTAAGGTGAACAGAGAGCCTATATCTTGGGAGCAAATCTTTACCTCTCACACATCAGGCAGAGCACTAATCTCTAGGGTATATAAAGAATTCAAAAAGCTAAGCACCAAAAAAAATATCAATCAATAAGTGGGCCAAGGACCTGAAGGACTTCTCAGAAGATGATATGCAATTAATCAACAAATATATGAAAAAAATGTTCATCATCGCTAGCAATTAGAGAAATGCAAATCAAAACTACTCCAAGATTTCATCTCACTCCAGTCAGAATGGCAACTATTAAGAATACAACCAACTGGGACTGAGGTTAACATGGCTCAGCGGTAGAGTGCTCTCCTGGCACATGTGAGGCACTGTGTTCAATCCTCAGCATCACATAAAAATAGAAACAAATAAAAATAAAGGTAATATGTCCAACTACAACTTTAAAATATATATTTTTTTTAAAAAAAAGAATACAAACAACAATAAGTGTTGGCGAAGATGTGGGAGAAAAGGTCCACTCTATCTACTTTTTAACATTCCTCTGTTTTCCAAGTCTTGAGAATAGGTATTTTTTATCTCTTCCTTCTTTTATTTCTTGTGTTGTTTTAAATTATCCCTTCTTATCATCAAATCATTCTGTCCTTCTCAATCCACTTGACCTCTATAAATCATGATCCCCACTATTTTGCAAGATTTCCTTTATGTTAACAAAATGTGTTTTTTCTTCCCACTCCTCCAAAAATTTTTATTTACCTAAAAAAAAAAAAAAAAAAAAAAAAAAACCAGCTAATTTTAGCCTGTGCCTTACCCATCCATCATTCTCACAAACTCAATTCTGTTTACAATTCTGGAATTAAACAGGATTAAACAAATACTGTAATGTAGAATAAGAAAAATATGATGTGTAAAAGGAATTTTGAGGCACTAATAAACAAAACAAAACAACAACAAAACACTTGAAAATTTAGCTGTTAAAGAACAACTGCCAGTAGATGAACACAGTATTCCAAAACAACAAAAGCTCTGAATAGCTTTTGGCAGGCAGGATGTTTCCTTTTAGACCAACTGTAAAGAAGCTATTTCTTTCTTTCTTTCTTTCTTTTTTTAAATATACTTAGCCTGAAATCAGTGAAAGACAACTGTTGCAACCACACTCCCCAATTTTTTTTAGAAAAAAAATACCATCTTTTTCCATCTATATGTTTTTTTGGTGGTTTTTGGTTTTTTGGTTTTTGTTTTGTTTTGTTTTGTTTTGTTTTAGTTTTAGATGGACACAATATCTTTTATTTTATTTCTATGTGGTGCTGAGAATCGAACCCAGTGCTTCACACATGCTAGGCAAGCACGTTACCACTTGAGCCACATCCCCAGCCTAATGTTTTTAATAAAATAATTATTTGTTTATACAGTTAGTATAAATGTTAACCATTATAGTGAAGTGGTCAAAAGCATAAACTTAGGAGCCATACTACCCAGGTTCAAATCCTAACATTTCCATTCCCTATGTGACTTTGGCCAAGTGGCTTAGCTGTTCTGTGACCCATACTCTTCATCTATAAAATATGGATAATAATAGTATTTAACTATTAAGTTATAGGAGATTATTATGGGGATGAAGTGAATCAACAACTGTAAAACAATTAAGGTCAGTGCCTGATACATGATCTTAAATGTTACAAATCATTACTTTATTACTTAAAATAGTATGCCAAAAATATAAAAATTATAGACTTCATTCCTTCAATTATTACTTTAATTAAACCTTTTATTCCTACACTTCAGAGGAAGCAATTCACATTAAACATTTCCTGAAACATATTCTTAGGCTTTGCTGAAAGTCAGTTAATTAGAAGAAAAACCTTACAAGAAGATTCTGTCGCCTCCCACCAAATTTTCTTCAAATTCTAATCTTTTTCTCCAGATTCTGGAAATTGAGCCCTGATTACTAATCAAAAATAAAATGTTGCCAAGCACAGTGGCACATGCCTGTAATCCCAGCAGTTTGGGAAGCTGAGGCAATAGTATCACAAGTTCAAAGCCAGCCTTAGTGTGGCCCTAAGCAACTCAGTGAGACTCTGTCTCAAAAAAAAAAAAAAAATGAGCTGAGGATGTGGCTCAGTGGTTAAGTATCCCTATGTTTAGTTCCTGGTATCAAAAATAAAATAAAACGTTAACTTGTCAAAGAGAAGTTGCTAAATTGTTTTCTCGATACATAAATAAGAACCAAGAAATAAAATTATATTCAATATCTACAATGCTTCATACATATTATACAACATACCTAAAAAAGTCTTCCAATTTTCAAGAAAGCCTCTATCATCTAAACCTAAATTTAGCTGACTATGTTCTAAATCTCAAATTGCATCAATGACTGTCTCTATCCATTTTTTTTTTCCCATGGTGAAAACTTTATTCATTCTTAAGTGATACCTTTTTTAGAGTTGTCTTCCTTTGTTCACATAGAACATGTTAAATTTAAGATTTTTTTTTTAATTTTTTATTGTTGGTTGTTCAAAACATTACATAGTTCTTGATATATCATATTTCACACTTTGATTCAAGTGGGTTATGAACTCCCATTTTTACCCCATATACAGATTGCAGAATCACATCAATTACACATCCATTGATTTACATATTGCCATACTAGTGTCTGTTGTGTTCTGCTGCCTTTCCTATCCTCCACTATCCCCCCTCCCCTCCCCTCCCCTCCCCTCTTCTCTCTCTGCCCCCTCTACTGTCATTCATTTGTCCCCCTTGTATTATTTTTCCCTTTCTCCTCACTTCCTCTTGTATGTACTTTTGTATAACCCTGAGGGTCTCCTTCCATTTCCATGCAATTTCCCTTCTCTCTCCCTTTCCCTCCCACCCCTCTTCCCTGTTTAATGTTAATCTTCTTCTCATGCTCTTCGACCCTACTCTGTTCTTAGTTACTCTCCTTATATCAAAGAAGACATTTGGCATTTGTTTTTTAGGGATTGGCTAGCTTCACTTAGCATAATCTGCTCTAATGCCATCCATTTCCCTGCAAATTCTATGATTTTGTCATTTTTTAATGTAGAGTAATACTCCATTGTGTATAAATGCCACATTTTTTTTATCCATTCGTCTATTGAAGGGCATCTAGGTTGGTTCCACAGTCTTGCTATTGTGAATTGTGCTGCTATGAACATCGATGTAGCAGTGTCCCTGTAGCATGCTCTTTTTAGGTCTTTAGGGAATAGACCGAGAAGGGGAATAGCTGGGTCAAATGGTGGCTCCATTCCCAGCTTTCCAAGAAATCTCCAATTTTGACAGTCTATCTCAAGATTTCAAATTTCATCTGTATATATGATTGGAGGTAAATCAAAAGAAAGTAGATATACACTTCAAAACAACGGGCTTTAATTTTTATTAGTGTACTTTAATTATACAGAATAATGGATTTCATTAAAAAACTGGTTTTTAAAAGCATTAAGAGGTCTTTACTATTTAAGTACAGTGGTAAATTATTAGAAAAATTGCATGTCTATGAATAGGGGAACAGAAAAATTTTGATACAGAAAATTTTTCAGACAGAATAACATTCACTTATCTAAAATAAAATTAATAATGGCTCAGGAAAATACCATATCATTAATTTTTGCTTATTAATATAAATCAGGATGCAAATTGTACATACAACATTTCTATACTAACTCTGTCCACAAAGGCATACATACACACAAAGAAAAACATGGTGAACACAAAGCATCCACATTTCAATAGTGATTGGTGCTGAAAGGGTAAGATTAGAGTGACTAAAACTTTCTTCTTAAACATGTTTCTTTTGTGTTTTGTTTGTTTGTTTGGTTGGTTGGTTGGTTGGTTGGGTTTCTTGTTTTTTGTTTTGTTTTTTGGTACCTGGGATTGCACTCAGAGGCACTCGGCCACATCCTCAGCCCTATTTTATATTTTATTTAGAGAGAGGGTACCACTGAGTTGCTTAGCACAAGGCTGGCTTTGAACTTGTGATCTTCCTACCTTGGCCTCCCAAACTCGCTGGGATTACAGGCCTGCACCACTGCGCCTGACTTAAACATGTTTCTTGATTGTCATTTATAATTATCATGTTTTACTTTTGAATTGGAAAAAATGGTGAAGCAGCTCATACATTTTTTTCTTTTATGAGCAAAAAACTAAGAAAGTAAGTGGAAAAATGTGGTATCTTTTTTTTTCTCATGAATATACATTTATTGTATTGACATTTCTGTCATTCCCATTTATGCCCTACAGAACAAAAATAAATGCTTTTGGCCTTTGATAAAGCTATAATCAGGTAACAAAATTAGTTGCACAGCATGACTTAATTATTAAAGAGCCTATATAGAGTTGCACACACCAAGATAATAATGGTAGTTAACAATTAGTGATAGTTACAGATGTTTTGAAAATTGTTTATTTGTAATTTTTTTCTTAGTATTTTCTGATATTCTACCATGTGCAGGTGTTGCTTTTGTGAAAATAATTTTTAAAAACCAATATTCCCAATCCTAATTTAATCACTGTCTCAAGCCTTTTACAGTTTCTCTGTCTGGAAAATAATTCAGAATACAACACATCTAATCCTTTTATGGATAAAATTCTTTTTATGAATAAAAAGAGAAAAGAACATTTATAATTCCCTAGAAGCCATGTCTTCCTAACCAAACAATTTTTTCCATCAAACTCTATCCTAGTCTTTTAGAAACTCTCTTACTGAGCAGCTCTTAGATTACTGTCTTTGTTGTCACTGTCCTTCATAAAAAAGCAGCATGTGCTTAGTCTGTCATAAAGCAGTGTGGTAGATTTCAAAGCTCAGATTCCACTGCTTTTCCTGAAAGTAGTTATGGAGGTTTCATGTTGAGTTCCCCTAACAGCCTGAGGGAGTCAGGACAGTGGGGTTGAGAACCCGGCTTCCAACAGGACTCCAGATTGAACCAGGACTCTGCCACTCTAGCTCTGTGCATCATTGATCCCTATACAACCTCTGATCCCCTCAGTTTCCTCATCTGCAAAATGAATATGATAATGCCTACCATACCATCTTATTAGCACCAAGTGAGATCCTGCTTGTAAAGAGGCATAGTTCAATGCCTGGAAAATAATACTTGTTATTGGAGCATTCAATGGCTCAGTAAATTGAACTATAATTTATTTTAAAATGAAACTTCAACTTCTTCACAAATAACTTCAGAGATTCAAAATCCCATCCCCTCCTCATAGATGTTTTATCTTTGAGAGAAATAAATATAAAGAGTATCTCGTGGAATCTTTCTGCTTTGATTTTGTTATATCAAAACTCTGCCTACACAATTTCTCAATTTGAAAGTTTTCAAACACTCAAGTGAGCAATTTTCTGTTTCTTAATAAAATGATTATTACTTCTCAAGAGTAGAGCTAGTATCTAATCAATCTAATTATACCAACACTTCTCTTTTTTTGAGTTGGAAAGAAATTTAAGTAACTGGGTATTTTCTATTCAGACAGTTACTATTAAAATAGACCATGTTTAGATATTCAAAACATTAGTTTTTAAGTTCCTAACACTAAAACAAACAAATAAAAATCATTGTTCAATTTAAAATTCAAAAATTCAAAGGAAATGAATGGTACAGTATCTGTTAGCATATAAATTTAATCTTTCTTAATTTTCAAACAGTATCCGGTAGTTCACTATAAAATGAGACTGGGGGGATATTTAAAAGATCAACTCCATTATTTTTAATATTTCATTAATTTAGTTACTAATATGTTGTTCTCATAAAGTAAATTATTCTAATAGTTAATACTGCTAGCAAATGTGGTATCTTTAAGACAGATGATTAAAAGAAAACTATGACTTAATTCATGATTATTTATCCCTCCCAATTCATAGGAACCCTCTACCCCTTGAAGGTATAACTATTTGGAGTAATAATTAATATTAGAAATTTATACTAAAAAATAGGATTAATAATCAAACTATTACTTGCCACTGCCTCTGTTGCTACAAATGTTAAAACTGTGAATTCCAAATTAACTGAAAGATACATTTTAAAAGTATGTTTAAACAGAAGTTATGCTTACAAACGTGGGTGCTCCAAAGAAAGAAGTACTAAAAGAAGCTCATTGCTAGGTTTAAGAACAAATTTCACATTCGTATTTGTATTAGTTGTCGTCAGTTATGCAACCATTTTGAAGTTTTGGGGTAATCTTTTAACTGTTTATATGCATTAAAAACAGCACCATAGCAGCTCTCACAAATAACTAACTCAACTATAAACAGAATATGTGGATATCTGTATTTTTATTATGTTTCATCCATTTCATACATATTTTCATCTTGATCTAATGTTATTTGTCACACAGCCTTTCTTTCTCAATTATCTACTGCTTTTATATATACTACAAATCCTTATGGCAAGTTAGACAAATTGAATATTTATTTGGAAAAGTAACTTGATTTCATACTAAATAATCTAATTCATTCAAAATACTCAATATAAGGTGAAAAGAGAGGAAATCTCCTCCCCAAATATTAGGCTCCTTAACTGGAGGCATTTTAAAAGGAAAGTTCTGTGGAGAAAAGAAATCTATTAATGAGACTTTGAATTATTTTGTAATATGTATTTTTCAGTTTTCGGTGGACACAACATCTTTATTTTATTTTATGTGGTGCTGAGGATCGAACCCAGAGCCCCGTACATGCCAGGCAAGCGTGTTACCACTTGAGCCACATCCCCAGCCCCAAGACTTTGAATTATTTTTAAAAACCAAACAATAAAAGGGGGGAAAAAGACATAGAGATAGAGATAAAACCAAAATCAGTTTTCTAAATCCTATATACTTACAGAGTGCTTAAATTCATTTAACTGCATTTGGAGACCCTGGGCTTTGTCAAGCTCCTTTTTCATTTCATTCACATTGCGTTTGAATTCTGTGACCTCGAGGCGCAGAGAACGGCGTTCCACTTCTGCTGCATGCAGTCTTTGTGTAAATCCAAATATTTGCTTTTGTAATGATGCTGTGCTTTTCTGTTATTAAAAAAGAGCAATTTAAAAAGCAGTAACTACTGATTTACTAACAAATCAATAGCATGAACTATTTTACTAAGTTAAATGTAATTTAGATTATACAAAACTTAGCTATTGCTGAAACTTAGAGGTGAAAGCCTCACTTTACATGTGTCCGATAATTTGGCTTATATGAAATGAACACCTGAAGAAATTAACTAGATGGCTAGAAAACTGAATTGACAGTTATTGGGTCTGATACAAATCTGTGGCACTGTGCATACAGAGAACAGTGTATTTAGAACTCATGCCAGGACTTATGTTTTTTTGTTGTTTTTCTTAATATTTATTTTTTAGTTTTAGGTGGACACAATATCTTTATTTTATTTTTATGTGGTGCTGAGAATCAAACCCAGTGCCTCACGCATGCTAGGCAAGCATGCTACCACTTGAGCCATATCCCCAGCCCAGTACTTATGTTTTTAATTAGAGCTTTATAGTTATACATAGTAGTTGGGTTCATTCTGACAAATTCATTCTCATGAAATTCGATTTCAGTACATAATCCCCCACATTTTCCCTCCCATCCTCCCTCCATTCTCTTTCCTCTACTCTATTGGACTTTCTTTTACTCATCTATTTATTTACATTTGATTTATTTATTGAATTAAAAGTTTACATGAAACCTAAAGACAATCTAAATACATGATATACAAATAATTTAAACCATAAATGAGTCTGATTTTAAATTAAATCTACAGTCCTAAAGTCAGTGTTAAATGACATACCATAATGGGCACATGGCCACGCAAACCATATTTCAGGGCCAATGTGTTTATTTTATGAAGTCCACGGGCCAACCTCTGAACCAGGGAATCTTTTTCTACATATGATATACTCCTGCCATTATGCAGAGGTATACTCTCCATTGCCAGACTAATTTTATCCATGAGTTTTGCAAAAGAATTTTTCGCTGTACCTATGAGTAAATGTCCACAAATTCTGGAATTTGGATCTTCAAAGAAAAAAAAGAAAGGAAAAAAAAAGCACAGTATTCAATTAAATTACATATGTACCATAATGGGAACATGGCCATTAATCACAATATGAAAAAAGAATATTTTTAATAGTAATTCATTCAAAGTCACCTCCCACGTTCATTTTCTCCATGAAAAGATGTACACAGAAAGTAGCTTACCTACTCAAGAATATATCTAAAGAAAATCTGCATGTATTTATAGTATGTCATTTGCATGGAACACTCTGACACTAAAAATTCATTGCTCTTTTCTTTCTTTTAAAACCTTACATAAAACCATTTTCTATTTACAACTACTACAGCTTGTTACCATAATGCCATACTATTTATATTCTTGGACAAGAAAATATAATTTGCCTTATTCCAAGGCAATTAAAATTTTACAACTACAATTACTTATTTCCCCACAGGATTTCGGTAATCATCCCTCTCATATAATGGACTTGAGGTCCCAGCATATCCAACATGGCCTGCTTACTGCTAGATTCATCAGGTCTGTAATTAATAATTGTGTTTAATGTTGATAAATAAAATTGTCAGTGCTCTTTCTACTAATTGGTATTCCAGATAATGGTTAATAGGTTTATTTATGCCTTCATAAAAGTCGTGTAATTTAGTTTTCCCTCTGCTAGGCAGGTCTTAATCTGTCATTACTTGTCTTTGACACTATCAGTATAAAATGACAAGCATGGAGAGATTATTTATATTCAGTAGTATACCATTCTACATTTCAAGAGTCTCTGCTGTTGGAGTTAATTTAAATCATGTCTTTACACCATAAGCATAAAAAGAAAATTTAGCCAGTTTTACCCAATAAAAACATCTTTTTAATTGTTGGATTCTGTACGCTTCAATACTAAAGAGCAACACTGACTGAGATGGTGACTGATCAGTGATTCTCTACGTCATAAAGAACTGCCTCATAGAGACCCTATATTCTCAACTTTGAGCTTTAGTCCATTTCACTTATTCCTCAAAGTATAAAAGATAATTTTTAAAATTTATGTAGCAGACAAAATTTGAAAAGCACATTTCTGTAGGGTTATACACCGAAATCAAAATCATAAATTGGATAAAGTATAATATACTACACGTAAAATTTATTTCTATCAATTATTGACTCATTGACTTCTAAGAATATAAATATAAGGTAATGTAAGTTTAATTCTATATGCCACTCCTTGTAAACATACACTCTAAGAATCCCATGGACAAAAGGCATACAGAGTACAATTAAAGTAATTCTTTTGTTAATAGGTTCCTTAAAAGAATTTAGTAGCTTTGCATAACAATCAACATATAATGCAGAATACTGATTAAATGAATTACTGAACATCAGTATGAATTAAATAGTTCATTGTTGAATGAACAGAGAATATTTGTCTATAACATTCAATATAATACACCATTTCAATTCTTAATATATGCATTCTCTGTTCATCCAGCTACCATGTAATTCTTTGTGTTATTTTTCATCTTAAACTTCTGTGCCAGTTTAGCATATATGGATATTTTTTATGTCTATTGGTATAATCATATTTCATTTTACTTCCATAACAGCTACAACAATACAGAACATAAGAATGCATTCAATAATAACAAGAGAAATTAACTTCAATAATATGTCAAACATTTTTTAAAGACAAAAAACATAAAATCTTGTTTTTGAAAAATATTGAGGGATATGCCAAGGCGTGGTAGCCACCTATAATCCCAGTAGCTCCAGAGGCTAAGACAGAATGATCACAAGTTCAAGGCCAGACTCAGCAACTTAGCAAGGCCCACAGCAATTTAGAGAGACCCTATCTCAAAATAAAAAATAATAAAGGCCTAGGGATGTAGAAAATTTTAAAAAGCTCAGTGGTAAATTGTCCCTGGATTAAATCCCCATTACCCGCCACCCCTCCAAAATTAAAGAATTTAAAAAGCAAAAATATTTTCACAATCAAGAGCCTTAAGTGGGCTGGGAATATAGCTCATACTTGCCTTGCATGTGTGAGGTACTGGGTTCAATTCTCAGCACCACATATAAATAAAAAATAAATGTCAACTGACAACTAAGAAAAATATTTTAAAAAACCAGACCCTTAAAAGCAAAATCAACTATGATTAAATTTTAATGAGTAGTGTTTTTTTTACTACATCACAGAATGTGTTTGTGTAGACAGTGACCACTCTGAAAAGTTAAATGAAATGATAATATAATTCTACAAGACATTCTTCTGAATTTTTAAGAAGTGGGAAACAGAAATACACTCTAAGTTCCTGACTCTCAAGTGAATTACAGTAAGAGTACTAAATAATTTATGAATTAATAAGTAAGAAATGTTTTTACAAAATAGTTCACATTGTACAGTATGGAATACAATTAATTATATATTAAATAAAGAAAATACCCTCTAGTGACACAGTTGTAAAATTATTTGTATAATGATATTGAGAAAAAATAAGGTCACTAAAATTCCTCATATTTACTTGTCTAGACAGTTTTAAGTTTTTCACTTGTTACATTTAACAAATTCTTCTTTATGTTAAATACAGTTATTAGTCACTTTTTTCCATTTAATACAGTCTCATTAAGAAGCAGACCCCAGAGGGATCCAAGATGGCGGGCCAGAGGGAGGCAGCATTCTATGTCACTCTGAGACCTGGGACTCAATAAGTGAGAATACTGCTTCTCTGCAAGTGATATCCCTGCTCCCACACAGGAATCACAACCAACGAGCCATCCAGGGTTCCCCTCAGCATCAGAATAGATCTCCCAACTACTCGCCCATGCAGGACTATGGGATACACTAGGGGAACCATCAACACCCGCGCAGAACTTTCAGCCACGGAGGCTGCTCACATGCAGGACACCCAGCAGCTTCCCACAAATAGGAATTCCAGCCCCACTCCTGTGTGGACCCCCATCTACCAATGTGGGACTCCCCCAGTCTGGGACTCTGCAGCAGCAGGGATAGTCCCTTACATGCAGTACCCTGCCTGCACCTGAGAACTTCACACAGGCTCTGAAGTCAGCTGACCGCCACATACTGCTCAATAGAGCTCATTTCTAACTCACTGTACAACACCATTGCTGAGCTCCCCCCACCAGACCTGACACCCCACCGCTGAAAGCAGGCACCTCCATCACCATCTTCACTAGGGGGAAACTCCCAGTTTGGAACTCCAGCTGGCCAGGTACCCAGCAGCCGCTAACCCAGCACAGTTACACCCTGGTTACCCTCACCATCCTGAGGGCAGAGATACCAGGTAACAACAGATGACCCCACCTACTGGATGAGAAGGGAAGCAGGAAAGATACTGATTTCCAATCAAAACAATTCCTCTGTCTTCCTTCAAGATTTTTTTTTCCCTCTCCCTCTCTATTCTCCGGCCCTCATATCCCCAACACATGTGAAAACAAGTACTTTGCATAAATTAGGATTTTGAGGACTGGAAAGTCTGAATAGTATACTACAGTTGTGATATATATATTTTTTCTTTTTTCCCACCAATTTCTATCTTGACATTTTTTTTAATTTTCTTAATATGTATGTGTGTGTTTTATGTACTCTACTGAGTATATTGTAGATAATAATTTAATTCACCATTTCTGCAAATTGTGACCAAACTGTAAATGTCTTATTAGCACACATTTGTTTTTAGAGTGTATATTGTTTTTGTTGGGATCTGATAATGTTGTCTTTCACCTCAGAGGAGAGGTATTAGATCGCTACAGGGGCACTATAAGCCTATAGAGTAAAAACAGTAATGCCTAGGATCCACAGAGCTAGAAGGGAAGACACAAAAGCAATATGAAAAGAAAAGGGAAGAAACTGCCCCAAACAAATCAAGATACCACATTATTAGAATCCATGGCCAACACAACAGAAGAAATTACAGACAAGGAATTCAGGATGTACATAATTAAAATGTTCTGTGAATTAAAGGATGACATAAGAGAGGAAGCAAAAGCTCATTTTGACAAAAAGCTACATAAAGAGATACAGGAAGCAAAGATTACTTCAATAGGGAGATAAAGGTTCTTAAAAAAAACTGAAATCCTTGAAATGAGAGAAACAATAAACCAAATTAAAAGTTCAATTGAAAGCATCACAAACAGATTAGACCACTTGGAAGACAGGAACTCAGACAATGAAGACAAAATACATAATCTTGAAAAGAATGTAAGCCACACAGTGAAAATGGTAAGAAACCATGAGCTGAACATTAAAGAAATATGGGATAGCATAAAAGACCAAATTTAAGAGTTATTGAGTTAGAGGAAGGAATGGAGTTCCAAACCAAAGGAATGAGCAATCTAGTCAATGAAATAATATCAGAAAATTTTCCAAACATGAAGAATTAATTGGAAAACTAAATTTAAGAGGTTTACAGGATGCCAAATGTACAAAATCACAACAGAGGCACATTATAATGAAAATGTATAACATAACAGAATAAGGAGAGAATATTAAAAGCCATAAGAGAAAGGAATCAGATTACATACAGGGGAAAACCAATTAGATTATGTGCAAATATTTCAACCCAGACCCTGAAAACTAGAAGATCCTGGAACAACATATATCAAGCTCTGAAAGAAAATGGATGCCAACCAAGAATATTATATCTAGCAAAAATCAAGCTTTAGATTTGAGGACGAAATAAAAACCTTCCATGATAAACAAAAGTTAAAAGAGTTTACAACTAGAAAGCCTACACTACAGAACATCCTCAGCAAAATATTCCATGAAGAGGAATTGAAAAACAACAACGAAAATCAGGAAGGTATTACACTAAAGGAAAAACTAATCAAAGGAGAAACCAAGTCAAGTTAAATAACAAATATAAACAAAATGGCTGGGAATACAAATCATGTCTCAACAGTAACCCTGAATGTTAATGGCCTAAACTCACCAATCAAAAGACATAGGCTAGCAGATTGGATCAAAAAAAGACTCAACAATATGCTGCCTCCAAGACAATCATCT